TCCTTCTCATCTATTTTCCTGGCCCATTACTCTTCTCTAAACTATTCTTTCTCTTTTTCATGTTCTCTCATCCTCCTCTACCCAGGATCCAATCATGATACTCACTAGTACTATAAACATTGCTTAACAGAATTTTCCAGATCACTGAAGCTTATTGCTTTAAAACTAAAATACTTTTAAAAATTACTTTAAGCATTTTGGTTGGAGGTTTTTTTTAATGTGCCATTTGTTCCCTTTACTTCTTATTAAAGTATATACCATATAATCATATAACTTGAAACTTTCTTGACCATGCAGGTTCATTGATCTAAACATCCCCTCAGGCACTTCTGAGAAGTCCAAAACCCTCTTCACTATACTACACAACTCCAGATCACTGAATATTACTACTTCATTTTCTATCTCATTTTTATAGTTCTGTATTTCCTCTTACTGTCAGGAAAAGTTTTTACTTTTTATTGTTGTCATTACATCTGACTTGTGCCTCTTTCCCTCCTACTCCCTAATTCCCTAATCTACTGTGTAGTGGATAGCCAGAAAGGAAAACTTGTGTGAACTTTGTATGAAAGCAGGCTTTACTGATACATGTTCACAGGTCTTTGAATAAGGGGCCTATGGCCTGTCCTGTGAGTAAAGTTCATTGGCTTCATGACAACTATTACAAGTATTCAGAGACCCTTTTTACTTAATTCTGGGTTTGGAACTATAAGTGAAGATAAGTAAAGTAGACTGAAGTTTGACATCTGGATAGGTAGAGTATCACTGTCATTTGCATCCACATAGAAGTACTGTTTCCAGAACAGTTTGGTTTGGTTTGGTTTGGATTTTAGAGACAGGATCTTGCTCTATCACCCAGGTTGGAGTACAATGATGCAATCATAGCTCACTGCAGCCTCTAACTCCTGGGCTCCAGCAATCATTCTGCCTTCACTTCCCGAGTAGCTAGGACTACAGGGGCAAGTCACCATACCCAGCTCCAGAACAGTTTGTGTTCATTCTTTTTGGCTGCAGTACAATCGAGTACTCTATCATCATTCTGCATTTAAATCACTGACAAAAAAGGGCAAAATGCTGACTTTGGCAAGCTAGAGGCCATCGGATGGCTGGGACTTCCTCAGACATCTCTGTGTCCTGCCCTTTCATTTCATTGCCTTTAGTTAGGACACTCTTTTGCCATAAGCTAAGTGACCTGGCATCATCTTACGAGCTCACCAAGTTATTCTTCCTTCTCAGACACCATTAACTACACTACCTTTTCAGTTTCCTTTTTATTTATAACAGAAAGTAGGACCCTTATTCACATGTCACAAATTCCTTTAAAATAATAATATAGTTCCAGGAGTTTTTGCTGTACCACTGCTGAAAATACTACCAGTGATATTGTTGATCAGCTTTTTCCCCTCACTGCTTTATCATAGTTGCTATTTTCTTTTCTTTTCTTTTTTTTTTTTTGATTTGGAGTCTCACTCTGTCACCCAGACTGGAGTGCAGTGGCTGCTCCCAGCCACTGCAGTCTCTACCTACTGGCTCCAGCGATCCTTCTACCTCAGCCTCCCGAGTAACCAGAATTACAGGCACAGCCTATCATGCCTGGCTGATTTTTTTATTTATTGTAGAGATGAGGTCTCGCCAAGTTGCCCAGGCGGGTCTCAAACTCACGGGCTCAGGCAATCCACTCACCTCAGCCTCCCAAAGTGCAGGATTACAGGCTGAGCCACCGAGCCTGGCTCAGAGTTGCTATTTTCTTTGAAAAAAAAAACAAATTTTATTGTGTATATTTAAGGTATACAACATGATATTATGGGAATACATATAGATAGCAAAAAGGTTATTACAGTGAAGCAAATGGACACATCCATAATCTCACATGGTTATCCATTTTGTTGTTTTTGTGGCAAGAGCAGCTAAAATCGACTCATTTTGTATGAATCCCAAATACAGTACAATTTTATTATCTACAGTCCTCACGTTGTACATTAGATCTCTTTTCAGTTTCTTATCTTTTTTTTTTCCAAGTTAGGGTCTTGCTCTGTCATCCAGGCTGAAGTGCAGTGATCCATTCATAATTCACTATGGCCTCAATCTCCTGGGCACAAGCAATCCTCCCTCCTCAATCTTCTGAGTAGCTACAGGGGCACAGCACCACACCCAGCTAATGTTTTATTTTTATTTTTGTAGAGAAGAGTTCTTGCTGTGTTGCCCAGGCTGGTCTCAAACTCCTGGTCTCAAGCAATCCTCCCACCTCAGTCTCTCAAAGTGCTGGGATTACAGGTGTAATCAAGCAATGCCCACCACATCCAGCCTGTTTAGTTTCTTAAAATAGAACCTTGCTATCATCAATGGCTTTTCCCTCAGTTTTCCCCCTTAAACCAGGCAATTTCAAGATTCTGATGTATGTGGTTCGTTTCACGTCCAAGATATATTTTACCTTTCTCTCACTCAAGCCTGCCAGAATTCTAATACATGGTCCTTGCATACTTCTGTTTTCCAAATATCCCTATCACCTCTCTCTACCCAAATCCATCCCAAATATAATAGTGCCCTACTCTTTTATCACTGGGCTTGCAGTCTCTACTTCCTGAACACTGTCATTGGTTAGCTCTCAAAATATTTCTTGCTTCCATTTGAATGCTATATTTTCACTTTTAGTTCCTTTTATAGTACTTCTTGCCACCCACCTCCTCCTGTTCAATCTTTACATTAGCACCTTCCAGTTTTATATGCTCCATATAGCTCTGCCAATGGAATTAAAGAAACATGTTGGAATTCTCTCTTTTCTCATCTGTCTACTCCAGAGTCATATCCCTGATCACACCTTAATATCTTCAATTGCCTCTGGAGAAATTTTCTTTTCTAAATGCCTTGGAATTTAGTGACTACTTTTCCAATTTAAGTTACTCAACTATTTCTCCTTTTATGCATTTTCCAAAGCCTTTAGATAAAGAATAACCAGATTTTTTGTTGCTATTCTCCACATCCCCCCAACCCCTCCTCCTGCCTCAGATTGTAATTGCCCACAATAACAGGACTGAACTTTTGAACATTAGATATGAAGCTATGTACTGAGTTAAGCAAATCTCACTTCCCAAACCGTACAGCTCTTTGGTTTCCTCACACCCGTCCATCCTTCCACCTCTCTCCCACAGCATTCCAGTGGGGCCTGGAGAAACTCCATTTCATGATAAATAACTCTCTTCCTTCTTCAATCCATTCAGAAATACTTTGTAAAAACTGGGCCTCTCTTAAGGATGCTGCTGAACTCCTGACTCCTACAGCGCTCTTGAAGGAAAGGACCCATTCCTCTGTGGACTGTGTACCTAAGGGTCAGGAGCAGAGGAGGGTTTGCTTGCTCTCAGAGCCAATAACAGACCAACACTCTGCCACTCTCCTTTCAGACCCACTGACCTCTGACTAGACTTCCTTCTGCTCCTTATCTCTTGGTCCATGTGGCCAACTCATTTAACACACTCACTTTCCAGGTCCTTGCCCACCCCGTCTCCAATATTCTCCTTCATTTGCTTCAGTGGCCACAGTCTAGACTTCACCTCAGACCCTCTCCTCCCCTATTCCTCCTACAGTTCCCACCCATCCTGCCTACTAAAGCCATCACTCCCATCAGCCTGCTCCTGACCCTGTGAGCATTCCAATTCTTCAATCCTCCTACTTCTCCCAGTTGATTGGCCCATCCTGTCCTCTCTTCCTTCTCTACTCAGCTTGGATTCTGTAGCTGATATCCAGAATTGCTCTTTTACCATCCCCCAGCAAACCTTTTCCCAGACGTCCTATACCAACCTGCCACCTGGGTAGCCTCCTCCTTGCTCTGACTCCACTCCCTGGTTATCACACTCTGTGGCCTTGCTTAGGCACCTGCGGTTCTAAAGGAATCTTTTCCTAAGTGTCAGCTCCATTCACCCACTCCTAGTTTGGCCTCCCCCTTCCCTTCCAAGCTATGATTTTGAATGCATGAAATGAAAGCCTTGCATTTCCATTCTAATTTATTACTTTAAAATGCTTGTGGATATTTATGTCATTTTATCCATAAGACAACCTCTTATGGGATGGAAGCTCAAGATAATATTGCAGCTGAAAAAAATATTGAGGATCAGGGAGGTTATGCTCACCCAAGCTCTCACAGTCTCAAAGAATAGAACGGATTGATCATCATAATAATCAGAATACATTTTCTTTCAACTCATCTGAAATACCTATGCTATGCCCAATTATTTGACATGCTAGTTGTGGAGATAACAGAGGTGGGCAGACAATAAATGCATTAATAAAAAAAGACATTCAGAAGACCAGTATAAAGGAACACCACCGTAAAGGCAGGGACCTCAGGATCAGGTTTCTATATGCAGTCAATCATCCCAGAAGCAAACATTCAGGCGGCAACTCTTGGCTCAGAGAGAGAAATAAATCCAATCAAAGAGATGCAGAGGAACTCCATGCCAGCCAGGCTGCTTTGTGCCCTCTGTGCTGGCTCTCACAACCGAAATTCAATAAATGAAGAGGGTCATAGCACTGACAGAGCAGCTGAGCCCAGAGATGGTAAATTGGGGGAAAGAAGAGAGAGTAGTTTGGAATTTATTATAGGAAACTCCTCTCATGCATAATTAGTGTGCACTGGAAGAGAAGACTGGTATGTGACATGCTCATTTCTGAAAGAATAAAAATAAAATAAAAAAGACTGCTTCCCTCCTCATCCTGCACCATCTAGACATTTATGATGTCATAAAGACAATAAATACAATCAGGTAAAAATCTTAATGGATATACAAAATAACAATAATGTAGAACAAAAACCTTAAGTAAAATGTTTTATAAAAATTACGAGATGTGTGTTAAAAATGATATGCCTCTACACATCTTTGAGCTTTTGGATAAAAACTATTAAATTACATCTATATTTGTACATTCTCTAATAAAGCAAATATTGTTATCTGCCCTAGGATTGCCCTCCCCCAAGAAAAATGCAAATATTTAGCAAAATAATCATTTACCTTATAGAAGATCAAACAAAGATCATCCAGTTTCCCATGCAAATCACCTGAAATGCAAATGAAAAATCACTATTTAGTAGGAAACAAGATATAATGTCCATTTTGCTAAATAATTTTAAAACTGAAATACTGCTGATCTACTCCGAGTGTTCCCAGGGCATAGAGGTTTAATCCTATGATGATGTTCATTCAACAAGCAATTTGTTTCCATAGCACTCTTTCCTTCCTCTCCTACAGAGGGGACAGAATCTGGCACTGCAGTTACCTGTTCTGCAGGCACTTTGGCCATTTATACAGGGCTTTGCTTACTCTGGGCCAAGCACTGGACTAAGGGTTTTACATTAATTATCTTGTTCAGTCCTTACACCATTCCATGAATTATCATCATCATCATCATCATTATCATCTTACAAATGAGGCTCAGCTCAGAGTACTTAAGTAACTTATGCAAAGTTAACCAGCCACCAAGTATCAGAGCTGGAATTCAACTTCAACTTTAGCTCACTGCAAAACTCAAGCTTTTAGCAATTACTCTGTACAGCCTACACTATAATACCTAGGAGAGCAGCAACAGTATCTATTTCAGCCAGCATTAAATCCCCAAGTGCCAACCATGGTATCTGGTACATAGTAGGTTGTCAATAAACACATTTGCTTGCTAAGTGCATAGTTTTTTTAAAGCCATGCTTTTTGTTTCTTTAAATTTCATTTTTATTTTTTGTTGTTTTTTAAGTTTTAAAGCAAAGTTTATTAGCAAGAAGAAGCGAGGGTAGAGAGGGAAAGCAGAAGATTCATGCCAGAAAGGCCTGGCATGGGCGAATTTCTCTCAAAAAGAAAGACTGCCAAACCATGTTTTAAATATGTTCCAGCAGTAGCATGTGAATTTTTTAAATTGTGAGTAGACTGTTGACATTCTTTTGATGAGACATAGGAAAAAAATAAAAGCCAACTAGGGGAAACCATAATATATAAAGCTATTAATTAAAATATAAGAATGACTATGCAAATATTCAAAAGTCCTATTTGGATAAGTATTTCTAGGTAAAATATCTTTCATAAGCTCTGCTCATAAATTTTTATTTTTTGCATCCAATTTAATTATATAGAATTTAACCTAGGAATATTTTCCCTCAGTTTGCTCAAAATCCCACAACCAAGATTAACCAAATATATAATAGAAGACACCAGATGTACTGGGAATAATAAAATTAATATCTTTGCCAGCACTTATTTATAAAATATGACTATAATTTTAAGATTAATAGCATATTAATGTCATTATATGCTTAAATCTAATTGCTTTCATAAGGTCTCACTCTAAATCTAAGGAAATAAAGAATGTTTTACTTAGCTTAATATATTTTTTAATTATTTTATTTTCCTAATTTTCTTCAAGGTAACATTTTTCAAAGACTGGCGTATACAGGGCACAGGCACAGAAAGATATTTCTATTGCCAACAAAGGCAGGAGTGCAGAATTGGTCATCATTTATAACATAAATATAGATTTTAAAACCTCCCATATTTCATGTATGCAGAATGAGAACTATGAGGCGTATTTAGATGTGCGTGTAAAACATGTATCTCAAAACTAAAACAATGGTAAATTTTCATTATAATTTATCTTCCTTTTCTAATGTACTACTTAAATGGAAGATGATTTTGAAAATATGGCTCCAATTTTAAATTTTATTTTATATAATTAGCAAATTTTTCAAAGCGCAATGGGCTATTAAAAACAGAAGATAATTCTTATATTAAGAAAATCTACTAGCATTGTCTTTTCCCTTTACCAATGGTGCTACATGGAAAATTCCTGGAAATACATAAATTCTCAAAATATGGAGCTCTTTAATGAATGGAACTGTCCAATCAAACCTAATCTTAGTCTTATGACAGAAAATGAATCATCAGGTGCATGATGGGAGTTAGGATAGTAGATGTGGGGCTGCCTCCAACATGGGATACAGAAGATCTGATTTTAAATTCTGATATCGTCACTACTAGCTGAGTGAGATAGGGTGAGGGGTAGGAAGAAATTACTACATAGAAATGCATGAAGGCAATAAACTTTTCTCTCTGGGCCTCACCCGTAAGAGCAAGGGATAGCTAGACTAGACTATCTCTGTAAGAATCCTTACACTGTGGGATTCTAGAACTTCCATACCCTCTAATTAACTCTTGTCTTCTTTCAGATCCTTTTTGCCAAGGATAAGTCTGCAGTAGCAACTGAAGGTATACTGGAAACACAGGGTAGCAGATGCCACTCTTTGTTTTGACTATAGCAGACCTAGCCCTGGCCTCATAGGCTTCACAGATTGACATGGCTTCCTGGGCCCCATAACCTAAAGTTCTTTATTTCCATGAAAAGTAAAGCCAAGTGAGGCTTTGAATAAAAGACCCCCTCTGCTGGGATGCATCATCTGCTAGTCATAACTGATTAGGTTGGAATTGAACCATTAGAGAGTCTTCAAAAACCTGAGTCAGGGTATGTCATGAAGAGTGTACTGCTGTATCAAGCCCCTGCCACCACTGTCAGATGCCAGAAATGGAAATGTTTTAATTAGATTGTCAAATCCACTTCTACCTGCCAGAATAAGAGAAACACGAGCTAAAAACTGATTTGGAAAATAACAATCACTGTTTTGTAACCTAAAGGCTTAATTAGAAGTTAAGGGAATTGCTGTTCCTTCCACGCACCCCACTCGCAAACAGTTGCAAGCATGCTGAGCACCAACTGTGATGAGTTGCAATGTGTACTATTTCTTGAAGCAATATCCTGCCAGGCTGGACTATATGATAGCAAAATCTCAAATCTTGTTATTTAGAAGAACAAGAAACAGATTTCTGGGACATTCCCACTCTTCTAAAAGCTGCAGAGACCAGTTGGAAAAATCCAAAACAGCAGCCAAGGGCAGAGAAGAATTTAATCTCCACCCTGCCTTGGGCTTTTCTCTTCTCAGTATAAGTGGCTTGCAGAGGCCCACCTAGAAAAAAGCAACATGGAACAAAGATAATGAGAGCTAGACGGAAGGCAAAGAATGTGTATTCCACCCATGGGTGGTTTTCCACATTAAAATGCTGTCTGCCTTTATAAAAAGCTATGAGCTCTTTAATTTCTCACATAATTAATTCCTGCCAGCTGGTATGCAAAACAAAGACAAGATGGGGAACAGTATTATCATGATAGATAATTCTATATTAACATTTTTCCCTTAACACAGTCCAATTTACACAGTTTTCAAGTTAGGCAAATGATGTAGGACCAAAAGGCTTCTAAATATTAATTTGACAACTCTGCTCTGAAACTTACCACAGATTGTTATCTCTTTGGAGGGAGAAGTTTTTACGTGAGTGATATTCGGCATTTGCATCAGAACTCTCTTGGTTTCAATTAGCACCTCTAAGACATAATGAGCATGAAGTATCTGTGAGGGGGAAGCAGAAGAAACAGATATATAAACTAGGAAGAATGACATGACTGTATAGAAAACTATAGAGGTGGAGCATACGAGCACATTTCAGGTTGCTGTATTTCAGGATAATCTCTAAATTATCATCAAATAGATTATTCTAGCACAGTGTATAGCATATAATAGATACTTGTAATTGAATAAAAGGATGATCATCCTAGGTCCTTGGTGCCCAAGAGAAGTAAGGGAAGATAATCTCTTGCCCTAAGGAAATGTGCAGACAAAATAATGATAATAATACAAGAAAAGGATAAAAAGGAGAGAACAAGGAAAAAAGGTAGAGAGTCTGTTGAAGAGGCATTGCATTGCATTTGTTGGGACATTCTGCTACCTGGGATGGACACTAAGTGTCATTGGTCTCAGAGACCCATGAGGCAGCCAGACAAGCTCTCAAGAGAATCCTGAGTCAGGCCTCCCAGGTGTGGCTCCATTATTTGGTGTACAATCTTGAGAATTTTCAGAACAGCAAGCACATTTATATAAAAGTTTAAGTATAAAACATATTCCAAACTCAGATAAAACACTATGCCTGGTCTTAAAAAAACTTTTTAATGCAACTATTAGAAAATTCTAAATTGTGTATGTGGTTCACATTATATTGCAATTGGAGAGGACTGAATATTCTAAAAATCACTGAATGGTATAGTATACTTAAAAATGGTTAAAATGATCAATTTTATGTTATATCAATTTTATCTCAATTCTTACAAATCAAAATATACATGATCCTTAATGGAAAAACATTGTATGTACACTGTGTTGAATCTTTTATTCTTAACAACAGAATTTTTTCATTTTTATACAGTCAAAAGTATCAATCTTTTCTATGACTCCTTAGACTGTTATATCTTTGATTTCCTTGAACATATTAAGCATATTTATTTTAAACTCTGATAATGCCATTAACTAAATACCCTACAGGTCTGTTTCTATGGTTTGCTGTTTGCCTCAGTTTCCCTTCATGCATCTTATAACCTCTTGTGCCTGGCTATATTTGTATTGAGTTATGGAAATCATACATAAAAAACTGGAGAAATAATTTCAGGCCTATTTTCTTTCAGAGAGGACTTAAGCTTGCTGTTGGCACATGGCTAGGAGTACTAGCTAAGATTATCGCAATTCAGTCTCAGGAATTACATGACTCTTCCAAGGTGTTCTTCAATCTCTGCAGAGCCAGTCTACTTCTAGTTCATTCTTACTCCTATGTCCTTTAGGGTCCTAACTTGAGAATGTTAGGTTTTGGGATGATGTCAGAGAAAATGGTGGAATAGGTAGCTACAAGATCCCATCCCTCCACAGAAACATTGAAAAATCAACCAAAAAACCTGTCAGAATCAACTTTGTTGGAACACTAGACAATATTCCAAGTTTACAGCAACCAAACAAACACTGAATCAAGAAAAAGGAAACAAGCTCAGCACAAGCAGGAAGTAAAGACTAAGATTTGCAAGTGTTCTGGCTAAGCAGTGAAGGAGTACCCCAACCCAGAATCAATCTATGATAACTGGGAGAAATTTGTTTCTTTTTTCTCCTTCTCCTTCCCATCCCCCTCCCCCTTCCCTTCACTCCCCTCCCTTCTTCTTTTTTTAATGGCTCCTGGTGTTCAAGGAAATCTCTGTCAACACACTAACTGAACACAAGTTAAAAGAACAGAGATTGCAGAGATCACACACATAACTAGACCTAATAGATACCTATAGAATATTCTAACAACAGCAGAGTATACATTGTTCTCAAGGACACATGGAACATCTTCCAGGATAGACCGGATGTTAGGCCACAAAATAAGCCTCATAAATTTAAAAAGATAGAAACCACGCAAAGTATCATCTCTGATCACAATGAAATGAAACTAGAAATCAATAACAGAAGTACAACTGGAAAATTCACAAATATGTGGAAATTACACAACATACTCTTAAACAACCAATGAGTTAAAAAGATTACAAGGGAAATCAGAAAATACTTTGAGAGAAATGAAAATGAAAACATAATATACCAAAACTTAAAGGATACAGCGAAAGCAGTGCTCAGAGAGAAATTTATAGTTGTAAATGTCTGCATTAAAAAAGAAGGATCTCAAATCAATGACCCAACTTAACACTTCAACAAGCTAAAAAAAGAAGAGCAAACTAAACCCAAAGCTAGAAGAAGAAAATAAGGATTAGAATGGAGATAAGTGAAATAGAGAATAGAGAAACAATTGAATCAATAAAACCAAAAATTGATTCTTTGAAAAGATCAACAAAATTAACAAACCTTTAGCTAGACTGACTAAGAAAAAAAGAGAGAAAATGCAAATAACTAAAATCAGAAACTAAAGTGAGAATATTATCATCAACCTTAAAAAAGTAAAAAAGGATTATAAGAGAATACTATGAACAATTGTACACCAACAAATTAGACAACTTAGATGAAATAAATAAATTTCTAGAAACACACAAATTATCAAAACAGATTGAAGAAGAAATAGAAAATCTGAGCAGATTTGGAACAAGTACAGAGATTGGATCAGTAATTTAAAATAAATAAATAAAATAAAAAATATCATAACAAAGAAAAGTCCAAGACCAAATGGCTTCAATGATGAACTCTACTAAACCTTGAAAAAATGTCAACACCAATCTTTCTCAAACTCTTCCAAAACTTGGAATAAAAGGAAACAATTCCTAACATTCTATAATACCAGTATTACTCTGATACCAAAGTCAGACAAAGACACTAGAAGAAAAGTACAGACCAAAAGCCCTTTTGCATCCCTTATAGATGCAAAAATTCTCAACAAAATACCAGCAAACCAAATGCAACACATCATGACCAAGTGAGATTTATCCCTGTAATATAAGGTTGGTCCAACATAAGAAAATTAATCAATGTATCACACAACATTAATAGAATGAAAGGGAAAACACATACACAATCATCTCAATTCATGTAAAAAAAGGCATTTGACAAAATCCAACAACCTTTTATAATAAAACCACTCAGAAAATTAAGAACAGAAGGAAACTTCCTCAACAGAATGAAGGGCATTCATGAAAAACCCACAACTAGCATTAAATTCAATGGTGAAAGACTGAAAACTTTCCTCTTAAGATAAGGAATAAGATAAACATGACCACTCTCACCACTGCTATTCAATATTGTACTAGAAGTTCTAGTCACAGTAAGTAGGCAAGAAAAACAAACATAAAGTATCCAAATCAAAAAGGAGTAAATAAAATTATCTCTATTCACAGATGACATGATCCTGTATATAGAATATTCCAAAGAATACATACATGTACACAACAAAAAACTACTAGAGTTAACAAGTACATTTAACAAAGTTGCAGAGTACAAGAACAACCCACAATGAGCAATCAAAAGAATTAAGAAAGCTATTTATTTTACACTATCAACCAAAAGAATAAAATACCTAAGAATAAATTTAATCAAGGTGGTGAAAGACTTGTCCACTGAAAAATACAAAACATTGTTGAAAGAAGTCAAAGAAGACACAAATATATGGAAAGATACCATGGATTGGAAGATTTAATATTGGCAAGATGGTAATGCTACCCCAAATTATCTTACGGTTCAATGCAATTCCTATCAAAAATCCCAACAGACTTTTTGGCAGAAATGGAAAATTTGATCCTCAAATGCATTGCAAAGGGCCCCAAATAGTCAAAACAACATTGAAAAAAAAGAACAAAGTTGAAGGACTCACACTTTCCTATTTTGAAACTTACTACAAAGCTACAGTAATAAACACAATTGCAGTATTGGCATAAAGAAAGACACACAGACCAATGGAATAAAACTGAGAGTTCAATAACAAACCTATATATCTATGGCCTACTGATTTTTGGCAAGGGTGCTAAGACCACTTAATGGGGAAAAAACAGTTTCTTCAACAGATAGTGCTAGGACACTGAATAGCCATATGTAAAAAAATGAATTTTGATCCCCTACTGTACAACATATATAGAAATTAACTCAAAATCATTTCTAGACATAAATGTAAAAGCTAAAACTACAAAACTCTTAGAAAAAAAACATATGGGTACCTCCAGGTATATTCCCAGTAGGGAGATTGCGGGGTCATATGGCAGGTCGATTTTTAGATCTTTTAGGAATCACCAAACTGTTTTCCACAGGGGTTATACTAGTTTACACTCCCACCAACAGTGTAGAAGTGCTCCCTGTCCCCGCATCCTCTCCAGCATCTGTTGCTTTTTCAGTTATTGGTGATGGCTATCCTCACTGGAGTTAGAAAGTATCTCAGTATGGTTTTAATTTGCATTTCTTTGATAACTAGTGAGGCTGAGCATTTTTTCACGTATCTGCTGGCTGGGAGGTGGGTGTGGTGGGAGGCAGGATTGGCAGTAGTGGAAAACTGCTGGCGGGGGGTGTCACATCTCAACAAGGGTACCTGCATAATGAACATTTGTATACCTAACTCTGAATTGTATCCCACATCTTTAAAATAAAAAAAAAAAAATTTAAGGAAAACATATGGGTAAGTCTTCATAACCTTGTATTTGGCAATGGATTTCAAAAATGCAAGCAACCAAAGGAAAAAAATGAATAAATTGGACTTCATCAAAATGTAAAGCTTATGTGCATCAGAGTACATTATCAAGAAAATAAAAAGACAATCTACAGAATGGGAGAAAACATTTGCAAATCATATACCTGATAAGGGACTTATATCCAGAAAGAACTCTTATAACTAAATAATAAAAAAAACTGATTTTAAATAGGCAAATAATCTGCATAGACATTTCTGCAAAGAAGGTATACAAAAATGGGGAGACACCTATCAACAAGGGTGCCTGCATGAAGCATATTTGTATACCTAACCCTTAACTGTACCCCACAATATCATAATAAAAAATATTGATTAAAATAAAAAAGAAGGTATACAAATGACCAATAAATACTTTTTAAGATGTTCAACATCAGTCATTAGGGAAATACAAATCAAAACCACAATGAGATACCACTTCACACATACTAGGTTGACTATAATAAAAATAAAAATGAAAACAAAATGACAAGTGTTGGCAAAAACATGGCAAAAATTGAACCTTCATAAAATGCTGATGAAAATGTAAAATGGTACAGCCACTATGGAAAACAGTTTAGCAATTACTGCAAACTTTAAACATAGACTTACAGCATGTCCCAGCATAGACTTACTATATGACTCAACGGAATACTCCTAGTTATATCCTCAAAAGAATTGCAAACATATATTTATATAAAAATGTGTACATGAATATTCATAGTAGCATTGTTTGTACTTGTCGAAAGATGTAAACATCTAAATGTCCATTTGCTGATAAATGGATAAACAAAATTAGGTATACAATGGAATATTATCAACCATAAAAAGAAATGAAGCAATGATACATGAATGAACCTTAAAAACATGATGTTAAGTGAAAAAAGCCAAACACAAAAAACCACACATTATATAATTTCATTTCCATGAAATATCCAGAATATGTAAATCCATGGAGACAGAAAGCGGAATAATGGTTGCCAGAGGTGGGGAGGAGGGAATGGTGCCAGGTACGGCCTTTCTTTTGGGGATGATGAAAATGTTTTAAAATTAGATATTGGTGATGGTTGAACAATCATGTACATGTACTATAAATCACTTCAAAATGGTAAGGTTTGTGGTCTGGGAATCATATCTTAGAAAATGAAAAAGGAAATTCTGTAAGCCTATAGAGAGGACCCTGCTGTGCAACTGAGGAGACTTCTATTTAAAAGTAGCAGAGAGTAGCTCTCAATATGAAACATTTTCCCAAGAAAATGCATCTCTGCTGTAGTATTTCCATTCATTCATTCAACAGTCATTGAACACCTGTTATTTACAAGAGTCAAGGCAGCATCTGCTTCCACTTGCCTGTTGTTGCTTGAAGGCCTCCACAAGTGAAACAATATCAGTAAAAGTAAGAGGAAATTGCAACCGAGGACCATCATAAGAGTCTGGGACAACTATCAAGTCCACCAAGTCCCGACTATTCTTGATGTCATGTTGGATTTTAACAAGTCGATTTACTAATTCTGGAAAAGACAAAGTGAGGGGTGAGAATCAACATTTCAATACTTAAATGTAGTAAATACCTTATTGAAAATCTAGAAAATATAAGGCACTGTGCTAAATGTTATGAATACCAACATATCCCACATATAACCATGAGGAATCATTGATTCTAAAACTATTAGGTACATTCACATGGATCACCATCATCCCTTCCTAGGCAAACAATTTACCACAGCACTGAGTCCATAATCAGTGGGAAGGGGAGTGAGAAGCACAGAGAAAACTGGTCAATCAAGGTACTTTGATGCTTGAAGCTCTGTTCTAAATTTTTTGCCCACTCTTACAACTCAGATTTTTACAAATAGGGCTGAAAACAACAATGTTTAGTGTTTGGGTCAAACATCTGTTGCTATTTAGGATCTACAGAAAATTAAATTGCAACATTTAATTTTTCTTTTTTTAATTTATAAACTTTTTTTATTTTAAAATTGTGGGGTACAGTTAAGGGTTAGGTATAAAAATATGTATCGTTCAGGCACCCTTGTTGATAAGGAACATTTAATTTTTCTTCTGTTAAAGACCTCAGAAGATTTTACTTAGCTATAACTGATTTGTTTCTCTCTTTACATAAAAATAAATTTTCTGGCATGATTTTCTTTTTTTCTTGGTAACAAAGCAGATAAAGTTAAATGACAAGCCATGGGCAGAAATACCCAAAGAATCTCTCTCTCAGACATTTCTATATAACAAATTGCTTGCACTGCTTATTTTAGTGGAGCTCTCCCACCCATCACCCTTCCAAATCCTCAAAGGTCTGGCCACTTCATTAGTCACTCCCTCTCTTGCCTATACCTACAGCATGACTCCCTCTTCAGACTCCCTATAACACAATTAAAGATCATTGAAGATTCCTCCAATCTAAAATGTCACCCTTGGAACTCACATCTGCCCCATATTGAGGAAGATTTCCTCTTCCACTCCAGCACTCTATTGTTTGACATTTCTATCCTTATTGTTCCCACTGTTCCCTCTCTCTGGACTACCCTTTTCTTTCTTCTCTTTGGATAACTTCTCTTCATCCTTCAAAACTCAGCAACTTTGTCCAGGTTGAGCCCCAAACCATACCTTCTCCATTGCATCGTGTTGATAATGATGATGATGGGAGCTCCCAGTTACTAAATACTTATTATGTGCACTGTCTAATCTCTTTACCCATATATATTTATGTAATAATCACAACTACCCTATGAGGTAAGTATTGTTATTATCTCCATTTTATACATGAGAAAAATGGGGTATAGCATGTAAGTGGGAGAGATAGAACTTCATCCTAGACAAGTTAGCTCCAATCCCAGACTTATAACCACTACACTTTTACTACATATTAAAATATAACTCTGTTATATAATACTTATAGAAGTGTTTATATATTTATAACTGATTTATTGAGTAATTCCAGCTCTGTGAGATATAAACAAGATATCATTTTCCCAATCATTGCCTCCACTCATGCTTTGTCATCTTTCCCTTTCCCATTGGCTAACTGACACATCAAATCAATTCCATCACTTCCAGTGATTAAACCTCAGTTTTGTTGTTTAAGAAAAGAATTAAAATATTCTTTTTCTTCTTAAAAAAATAAGCTCAGTCTGGCCCTTCCTTCCATAAATTTGATGACACTCATTCCTTAAAATTCAGTGATAAATATATGAAAAAGCACCATTTCCCTAAAACAATTCTTAGTTGAAACTACTCATTGTGAAGTATCAGTAAACATCAAATCATAATCCTTCTGCTGCTTTTTAGCAACATAAAAAAGAATGACATAAATTCTCTTCCAGTAAGTAGTACATGTCATTATGAAAACAACCAAAGCACTAACATTTTTAATACATGTACTGTCCTTGTGGGTTATAACTATTATAACTAATAATAATGTAATGAATGCCAACAATATTTGGCAAGATTTGTGTAACATGTAATTAGAATTAATCCTCACCTATTTGATTTGCAATTTAGTCAACATAAATCTAAACTAATTAAATATAATAAAAACTTGAATTATAACCAAATGATACCTTTACAAGTTGTTCTAAAGAAAATACCTCAAAAATGCCCTCTATTACACAATCTTTTCTTTTACCAAAACAGACTCAAAATCTGGACAGGAAAAAATTTAAAGCCCATAATTTTTTTAAAAACAATTTCTGCCTCTACCACCCACATGTCATTTTAAAAATAAGCTCCAGATACTGCTGGAAAAATAAAAGCACCAGTTGAAACACATTTGTAGTTATTTTATTTCTCAATTATGAATGTGGATCAAAACTATATAATAAATTCAATATATGCCAAAATAACATTTAATAAAATTCAACACCTGTTCCTGAGTTTTTAAAAATTCAGGAAACTAGGAATGAAAGGATACTTCCTTAACATAGCTTCATAAATTTAAATCAATGATAATAGTTTTTTTCCATTAAATCATTAAAAAAACAAGGATGGCCACTTTCATTGTTTCATTTTAACAATGTTTCACTATCTCCAGTCAATGCAATAAGACATGAATATGAAATAAGAGCAGTAACTATTGGATAGAAAGATATACAAATAAAGTTACTTGTGGCCAATGTGATTAAATACCTAAATTCAAGAAAATTGATTGAAAAATTCCCAAAATTGATAGAATTGAATATCATACAGAGATTAATCACACTGGTTTGAATCACAGCTTCTCCACTGATGAGAAGAATAATTTTGGGAGGGTACCTTCTAAGCCTCAGATTTAATGTATATAAAAAGGGAATGATAATAATACTAACCTCATAGGTTTGTCAGGAAGAATAAATAAAATGATGTATTTAAAGCACATAAACACGTGGAACATGGTAAACATTTAACAAATGTCAGCAATAATAATAATTACTATTATTTAATAGTAGCATAATATAAATAGACATAATTCAAAAGTTATACTAAATATTGCCAATGTTCAATAAAATGTATAACGGAGAAAAATATCCTATTCACCATAGCAACAGAAAAAATATAAAATACCTGGTCCAATAGGACATTTTGGTTGATCTGGAAAGCCGAAAGAAAAGTGAAAGCAGTACTTCCACACACTCTATTCCACTCCCTTTTACTAGTGTCCCTTTACTAGACCACTTTTACTAGTCTCTGTTTACACCTATCACTATGTATGGCAACTTTGGCTTTCTGCTTGTGGGCTGATGTGTGAAAAGTGGACTGGGAACGTTTGTGTGGAGTCTCTACTCCCTATCAAGTCCTATGCACTGGTTTTGAGCTCTTAAAGTAGTGGGACAGGGAGATAACTTGTTATAACTGATTTTCACAAAGATTACAAGGACAAGTACTACTATTTCCAGATCTTCACTCACCTTTGGAACACCTAAAATGTCTTGAGATATTCTGTTGCCTCAGAGTTAAAACTGTTAATCTGGCTCCAATATCTAGAAATGTTAAATAACCCGTGGTTCCTTAAAAATGCCCTGTTTAGAGATCACAGCACTTCGGTTAAACAGGTTGTGAGAGAGGTTGTCTGGAATTCTTTCACCATAGAGGACCATTAGAAATCAACCTACGGCAATAATCTGTTTCTCTTTTTCCATTATAACAATTAAATCAGTGTGGTTCTAGAACACTATAGTAGAGAGATGTATAAAAGAATAGACAAAAAAAGAGAATAGGTAGCTCAGAAATATACCCAATTATACATATGTAAACAAATGTTATGAGGGAAGCATTACAAATCAGTAGTGAAAAGATCTATTATCAAATAAATGTGAGAAAAATTGGTTAACTACTTGGAGATGTTCCTTGTAGCTGTGTTGTTAAATTATTCTCAACTACTGGACTTTAAAATTTTCTTATTTAGTTTAATATTTAAGAATTCATATTTTATGAAGTATTTAAAAAGTCAAACAGTAAAAACATTTAGAAATATAGGCATAGTGATCCACATTTTAAATATTCCAGGGCCTTCTATGTTTAAAAACAGAAGGGATAATCAGAAACAATATATTTAGACTTGAAAAAAGGATGTTTTAGATAATTAATGGATGAAAATTTCCTGAGCCTGATGCTATTATAGAAGTTCAGCAAACCCCAAGCAGGATAAGTAAAAATGAGATCTCATCAATGCATATTAAAGCTAAAATACTATTATCCAATGGTACTTAGGTAGGTATGTTTCTTCTTCGCGGTTCATTTGTCATAGTGAGTATTCCATTTTGTAATCACACACACACACACACACACACACACACACACACACACACACACACACACACACTTCCTGTTTTTAGTTAATTATTATTGGGGGAATGTAAAACATTATCATGTTCTAAGGGTCAGAACTACAAAAAGGTACAGAGAAGTGTCACTCCCTTCCTCATTCCTTCTACCTAGTTCCCACTCTCCTATTCATTCTGCCCTGTTCCCACTCATCCACTGTACATAAACAAGGTCCTTAGTTTCTACTTTATTCTATAGATTTATCCTGTATTTATTTTTATACAAATGAATATATCAGGGAAAGATTTCTTAAACAGGATAGTGAAAGCACAACCATAAAGAAAAAGATTGGCCTGAACAAAACGTATTTGTATACCTAACCCTTAACTGTACCCCACAATATCATAATAAAAAAAAAGAAAAAGATTGTACTATATTAAAATTAAGACAGTCTCTTTGTTAACATACCATTTAAAGACTGGAGGATAAAAGCTGGAGACTGGGAGAATATATTTATGGTGCATATATCTAACAAGACTCATATTTAGAATAGTTAGATAATTCTCAAAAATTGATAAGAAAAAGGCAGATAATCTGATAGAAAAATGAGCAAAAGACCTGAACAGACACATCACCAAATGAGATGTATAAATGACTAATCAACATACAAAAAGGTGAGCAACTTTATTGCTCACCAGGGAAACACAAGTTAAAGTAGAACTATGATACTACTATATACTTACCAGAATGACTAAAATAAAAATGGACAATTTTGAGTGTTGGTGAGGATTTGGAACTGAAACAACAGGAACTAATGGAGTATAACTTGGTACATTCTTGTAAAGCTGTCAGTATCCAATAAAGCTGAGTGTGTGTGTGTGTGTGTGTGTGTGTGTGTGTGTGTGTGTGTGTGTGTGTGTGTGTATTACACCTTATAGCCCAAAACTTCCATCCCTGGGTTGTGGTACATCTTTATAAGAATGACTTCCAATAAATCATGCCTCCTTGTGTCCACATCCCTTTATAATGTAATACCGCTGCTCCTCCCAGCAAGAAATGAATATTTCTTATTCCCTCTGAATCTGTGGCTAGCCTTATGAATTGCTTTGATCAACAGAATATGGCAGAGCTGATTTTCCAGAGTTCCAATGCATAGGCCTTAAGAAACCTGGAAGTTCCTGCTTTTGGCCTCTTGGACCCAGCTACCATGTGAAGAAGTTCAGAATATTCTGCTGAACAGAGAGGCTGCATGATAAGAATAGAGGTAACCAAGTTAATAGCCAATACTAAAATCCCAGACATATGAGTAAAACCATCTGGACTCTCTTGCCCAGCCAAACTAGATGAGTGAGCCCAACTGATATCACATGGAACAGAGACAAGCTGTCCCCGGTAAGCCCTGTTCAAATTCCTGACCAACAGGATCACAAGAAATAAAATGGCTGGCTTTTAAAATTCATTTTTTTAAAGCAAGATTTATTGAGAAGACAGAAAAGCTCCCACCGTGGGAAAGGGACCTGAGGGGGTTGCCCAGCTGTTGTTTTTAAGCCATGAAATTTTGGGGTGGTTTATTACACAGCAATAAATAACTAAAAATGAGTATACAGCAAAATAAATGAATACATTTACCAAAGGGACAGGCACAAGAATGTGCACAGCAGCACCATTTAAATCACCAATCTGAAAATTAAAATATCCATAAACAATAGAATGGATAGATTATGGTACACTAGTAAAATGGAATATTATTCAGCAAATTACAACAACAAGGATGACTCTCACAAACATAATGTTGAGTAAAAGAAGCCAGACTCAAAAGAGTGTATACTGTATGCTTCCATTTATATAAAGAATTTCAAAAACAAGGAAAACTAACCTAAGGTATAGAAGTCAAAGAAGTTATACGGTGAGCTAGAGGTTGGGTAATACTAGAAAAGGGAAGGAGGCTTTGAGAAAACGTATTGAGTCATATAATTTGTGTAGTTTCCTATAATGTATGTTATACTTCCAAAAAACTTTACATAAGATTAAGCCACTGTCCCCTTCTTGGATAAAAATATTTTGTTATATGTTAAAATTACCTGCAGAATTTTTTTAAATGCAGATTTTTTAAAAATACAGAGTCTGAGTAAATATCACTGGACTACAGCCCAGTCATCTGTGGCTCTGAAACTCCATAAGTGATGCTGATAAAACTCAGCCCAGGTTGAAATTTTAGGTCATTAGTAGAGCCAGTGCTTTTTCATCATTATTATACTTTCTCTCAAAAACATTTTCAAAGAATATGAAACGCAAACAACTGTCTTCAAATTGCAATTATCTAAAAGAAAGAAAATGGCAAAGTACCCACTTCCACCCACTCCCCACTCCTCAGGTTTGGCTATTTCACTATTTAGAAAGCTTCTACAGATCATTAAATGCTTTAATTAGCTTCATACATATGTACTTAATGCAAATCATGCCATTCAAACACCATTCTTTCACCACTTTGAAGGGTGTTTACCGGATTATTTAAAAGATGCTCCTAGATGCCATACACATTTTAATTAGAGGGGAAAAAAAAAAAAGCAGTTGGCCCAAATTAAAGAAAAGTGAATGTTTAAGTCTAACATCTACCTTGGAGATAATAAGCAGAGCTTCATTTGTAGGAGATATACATGCCTTGTGAATAATTATAACTTTAAAATCATTTCTGAATCACACCTATATTGCTTGTCTCTGCTTCAGAATGACCAAATAGATGGTAGGTAAACAGACAGACAAACAGGTAGATAATAGAGATGATATAGACAGAGATTTGTAGATAGGGCAGAAAACAGACATGATAGAGCAAACTATTTAATCTGCCATTTTCCCTCAGATCTACTGCATGAAATACTCAAGATATTTTGATCTCTCAACATAAAAGTTTTGTGGACAAAAAACAAGATCCTCTTCACTAAGCTACTGTTGTGCACCAATAAATTGTAGTCAGACAAAGTATTAAACAAATAAATAAATGTTGAATGCATTGCAATTCAGTTTTTTGAAAAGTGAAAAAAATTTAATGGCTGATTTAATCGACACCATCCAGAGAGGAAAAAACCAGTTGAATGGACTTCACCAGTTGTTGGGAAATAAAAGAGGTAGTCATCTTTTAAATTTCTTAGTATTCTACTATCCTCAGAATTTACATTTCTTGATGGGGACAATTCAATATTTAATGACAACTTTTCAAAAGACTAAACATTTTACTTACTTGGATCATCCTGATGTACATGTGCGTAGTTTTCCAACATGAAGGAAAAGAAGCTGGATAGCTGGACAAAATAAATATACATTAATCAATTAATGAATCACAAACAGCTACCGTGGCAAATGCTATTGGCGTTCCATGCAAGTCCCTTACTCTTCTGGGGCATTCATTTCCCAGCTGCTGCAGGTGCTAAGGGTCACACCTGTGCCTACCTCCAGAGGACAGGCTTCACAGATGGACGGTACCTCACCTCACCCACTGCTGTGTGGGACATTATATACACGCCCCTCCTGGGAAGTTGCCCAGAGACAACGAATGGCTGAAGCAAGGGAATAATAGCCCAGTCCACCATTCCCTTGCTCCTGCCAGCAACAAACTAGGATACATTTCACACTTGAGAGCTCTTGATGGGTTCAGGCTGAGGTCAGACTTCTCCAGAAAGCACAATTTTGCCTACTGTATTCCCCTATCTTATCTTGCACTCCTTGCTCTCTTATAGGTTTTCCCTGACAACACTCCCTCAATAAGTCACTTGTACCAGACTTCCTATCTCAGACTCTGCTTCTAGAAAATCCAATCTAAGACAGCTACTCAATTTTGCTCATCATGATCTCCTCTTTTCTTTTTGGTGGTGAAATTAAGAGACAAGCTTGCAAAACAGACCTGCATTTGGCCTTGTTCATCAGCATATTCGATAGACCGGAAGATGGCAAGGGCATACTGCTGTCTGGCCTTCAGCCTAGCTCTGTTACCTCGGTACCAGTTCTGGATGATCAATGTGGCTTTTAGCACTGCAAATCCACAGGATATGAAAATGAGAGAAAAACAGTTACCGTGTAGTTTTGGGGAGAAATAGGTGCTTCATCAAAAAATAACAGCAACAACAAAAATAGTCCCAATCACTCCACCTGGATTCCTAGGTTCTAAGAATATAAAAAATTCAAACAATAGATTGACTTTTATGTTCTTTTATAAAATGTCCTCAAGTTTCAAACACTCAGAAAATACAACAGCCATTAGGAGTAGAAGTTTTGGAGTAAGACTGACTGAATTTGGATCCTAGTACTATGTGACTTTAGGTAAGTTATTAAAATTCTCAAAGCCTCAGTTTCCTCATCTGTAAAATGGGGATAATAACAGCATCTACCTTTGGCACTATTTATACATATTAAATCTATGTATACCCTATGAAGTAGCAATTTCATTCTCCACTATATACCCGAAAGCAATTCTCACATAGTCCATCAAGGAGGCATATGTGGATGCAATTGCTTCTCTGTGGCAGTAGGGAGTTTGATTCCAACAGGCCTGGCTGTCCCTTGCCAGAAAAGAGAATGTATACCTGTGGTAGGGTGCACACCATGCAGTGTCACACCACAACTGGAAGCAATAGATTAAATAAACATATAGCAACATGGATAGGCCTTAAAAACACAGTGCTTTCATTATAACAGCTATTTTTATTTAATTTACTTATTTCAATAGCTTTAGGGCAGTACAAATCATTTTTTATTACATGGATACATTGTATACCAGTGAAGAAGTCTGGGTATTTAGGTTGATTCCACATCTTTGCAATTGTGAATTGTGCTGCGATAAACATTGAGTGTAAGTGTCTTTTTTGTATAACGATCTCCGATCCTATGAGCAGATACGTAGTGGTGGGATTGCTGGATAGAATGGTAGAACTTTAAGGAGAGCAGTTATTTAAAAGTCAGAGGCAGAATGTACTATAACACAGTATCATTTTTAATATTTTTGGTTTATTTTAATAGCTTTAGGAGGTGCAAATAGTTTTTGGTTACATGGCCACATTGTATAGTGGCGAAGAAATCTGAATATTAAGTGTACCCACTACTTCCACCTGTGCACATTGTACCTGATAGGTGATTTTTTTTGTCCCTCCACCCTATTTCCCCATAATGTCATTTGAATCAGTGAAAATACACATACACAAAACCACGATTTACATTTCATAAGAATATTTACAAAGTAAAAGATGCACACTACACATTATAGATTGGTTATTTATAGGGGAGGTGAATGAGTATGGGGTACGTGGATAGAAGAGAATAAACTAATTAACATAAGAGTGGGTCTTTCACAGACCAATGATGACAATATACAATGAATTGAGAAGTATGAGTCACTCTACCTTCTGCACCTGAGATTCAATTGAGACAAGACAAGTGGATAAAACACCCACCTCCCTCACAGGGTTACTATGAAGATGAAATGAGATACTACAGGGGAAGAGTTTAACCAAATGCCTGACACAAAGCACATGCTAAGTAAACAGCAATTATAAGTATTGTCTTGTTTATGGACTATCCAGGAAGACTGTCTCTCTCCTGGGGCTGTAGTTCATAGTATTGAATAAAGAAATCAGGTGAGAGATAATGAAATTTTTAAAATAGTCTCTTATGCCTCCTCAAGTTTTTGAATAAAGAGCAATCAACAACAGCTGGCTCCTTTTATTCATGCTATCATTTTTCCCAGTTGGTGCATAAAAATTAAGAGTTGGCTATCACAAGAACAATTTGAGTTCTGTAAGCAGAGACTGGCCGAGCACGGCGGCTCACGCCTATAATCCCAGCATTTTGGGAGGCCGAGATAGGAGGATCATTTGAGACCAGGAGTTCGAGACCAGACCAGCCTGGGCAACATAGTGAGACTCTGTCTCTACAAAAAACAAAATAAGAAAGAAAAGAAAAGAAAGCAGGGATCCACTCTCCAGTCCCAGCCTCCTTTGGTTTAGTACTGCTGTGGTATACCAGGTATATGCCAGGACCTAGTCATCTGAGGTTTATTTATGAGGCTCTTGGGTTCCAGGGATGCTAGTTTCATTATTCAGCTTCCAGAAAAACCCGGAAAATAGAACTAAGGTCACGTGTCATGATCTTGATAGGGGGGGGAAAAAACACAGGAAAAAGAAATAGAGAGGCATGTTCAATATGTGAAGCAAATAATTAGTAGTGCCATGGCTGAAATCTCAAATGTTCTCACAATATCCTTATGTAGAGTCCAAGTTCATATAAAATGCCTGTTATGTGGAACGGTCGCTGTCATGGTGAGCCAATCATCTGACCTTAGGAATTCTCATATTCACAAGCACCATGGTGCCATTCCAGTGTCATTTTCTGAGCACTTAGTAAGGGCCAGGCGATGTATTAGTCCTACAGTCCTCACAATACCGTGAAGCTGACAAAGATTTAGGAAATTAATGTCACTTAGCCAGTACGTGGAAATTGGACAGCAAAGATCTGAACCCTAACCCTAACCCTAACCCTAACCCTAACCCTGGTCTGACTGACTCCATAGTCCAAGCTCTTAACGTCCAGAGAGCTATTGAGCTTTTTTATACTTCAGTTTCTTCACAATGATATAGTAAAATAATCATTATAGTATCTTCTATTTAGTATTAGTAACATCAATAAAAAATAGCCAAGCATATTATGATTTCTATAATTAATAGAACAAAATAACTACCATATGTTAAGGGTCTACTACAAGACATTAAGTCCCCACAAACATTATCAGCTCTCCACATAGCCAGTTACTTCATTCCCTAATCTGCTTGTATCTTTCTTTCCTTTGAATAATAACCACCACCATTTATTTATTATTTTTTTAAATTTTATTTTATTTTTATTTTTTTGAGTTGGAGTCTCACTCTGTCGCCCAGACTGGAGTGCAGTGGCCACTCCCGGCCACCGCAGCCTCGACCTGCTGGGCTCCGGCGATCCTTCCGCCTCAGCCTTCCGAGTAGCAGGAATTACAGGCATGCGCTACCACGCCCGGCTGATTTTTTTGTGATTTTATTGTTGAGATGAGGTCTCGCTGCCCAGGCGGGTCTCGAACCCGCGGGCTCAGGCAATCCACTCACCTCAGTCTCCCAAAGGCGCGGGATTACAGGCTGAGCCACCAAGCCCGGCTCACCATTTATTAAATGCCTACTTTGTGCCTGGCTCTAGCTGGACACTTTATAAATACTACCACTTCTAATCCTCCCTGTCTCTGTTTGCTTTTACCTCCACCCCTCTCTCCAAAGGGAGTTGCTGTTCTGTTTGGTCAGCACACAATACATTCACGGGGCTGTATCCTACAAGTGGGTGTACATACCGTGCCATAGATGGTAGACAGCATACTCAGTTCCCTCTGTCTTGCACTTCCTCTTCTACTCCAAAGTCAGGAAATGGAAATGCCCCACCCTCACTCTCTGCTTGGGAATCAGGCATCTCTGTCTATGCTTGCGCCCTTATACCCCTGAGCACACACACCACTTATTCAGCTGCTGTGTCTCCACTCTAACTCCACCTTTCTCCAGTCAGCTCAGTCTGCCAAGAATGGGACTCTGCAGACCCCATTCCGGCTTTGCCGGTTTCTCCCTATCTGGCTCTTAAAGGGAAACTTTAAGACTGGGTGAAGAACAAGGGACACACCCCTTCCTATCTGCTTCCTGATCCTGATAGTGTAACCGAGAAATTGCTCTTCCCCTGCTGCAACAGCAGTTGGATCCAGTTTGCAGTGTATCGAGCACTTGCAAAATCAGTCATATGGCAGCCCCTGAAACACCAGTACCAGCTAAACTGCACTTCTTCACAAAGTTTTGAGTTTCAGATCTAGGGACCCTCCTCAAAGTTTCTAAACAAATAATTCCAATTTTTTCTCTTTGTTCTCTCAGCCCTAGGATGGTAACTTTCCTGCAGTTGCTACCTTTGTATACCTTAGGGTTCTCATTCAGTTACCTAGTAACAACTGGATATATATTTGACAATTCTTTACATTCAATCCTCTCTGCTCTACTCTGTGGTTTCTGCCTCCTGACTAGACCCTGACTGATAAACTAGTCTGAGGCACATGGAAAAAAATAAGTCCTGCTTGGACCTCAAACTCCAACTTCCTTGGGTACTCCAACCCAGGGCCTCACAAGAGTTCTACATAGGTCTTTTGAGTACTTGTGCAGTGGTTGATAAACTGAACTTTGAACCACATCCTGCTATTGTCCCTGGGCATACAGTTTCTGCAGAAACCTCTCCAGGAGAGGGAAGGAGACTAGCAGGGTAGGATTGGGCATACGAATATCAGACTTTTAAAATCTCATCTAATTCCTAGGAGATCACCCATTCACTACAGGACAACACTAGCCAGCTGGGGATTCTCCTATGGAGGAGAAACCTCCAAAATGGCAAGAGGTAGAGCTCACACATGATAGACCCTATCTGGGAGGATCTCTGACTCCAAAACTCCCAAATCTTGAAGATCTATGTCGTCCAGGTCTGAATTTGTTGGACAGTTTGGATTCACATCTGGTTCCACTGCTTCATCGGGTAATGGGGCTTGTCATTCCTGTCACATTAATTCCATGCAGAAGAAAAAAATCTATTGCTATATGTGTCCCAATGGCCTTCTATTTTTGTTCTAGATGCAACAGCATAGGTTTAATAAGTTACCTGGCCAATTTTCTGTGCCCAGCACAGGTGGTTTCTCTATTGTCTTTTGTTTTGTTTTGTTCTTTAATAGATTCTTTTCTCTGGTGGTGATTATTATCATGGTATTTTGCAAGAAATTAAGTATCTATGTAGGGAGTTAGTGAGCAAGACGAATAATAAATTCAGAGTATTTATTTTGTGCCAGGCATTGTGCTTAGCATTTTATTTTAATTTGATTTGATTTAATCCTGCCAACAATTCTATGAACTGTCATTATCCTTGTTTTACAGATAAGGAAACTGAGGCTCAGAAATAACTTGTTTGTAGTCACATTGCTTGTCAGTGGGAGAATGAGGAGT